GCCTGCGGCCTCCACCCTCAATGCCTGAAGGGTGAGACCAAGACAGAAGGTGAAGGCCACACTGAGGAGGGCACATCTCTGTGATGGAGAGAGAGGACTGGCTATGTGGAGATTGAGACTTGGGCCAAAGGCAACAAATAAAAGGCCAAAGAGAGAGAAAGGTGTAGAATGTGGGGAAGAGGGAGCCTGAGAGAGAAAACAAAGGCTGCGTGAGGAGTAAGAAAGGAACTCCAAGTGAGATGGCAGGAAGGAAAAAGGGGCTATCTGATCTGATGCACAGTTGATGATGGAGCAGGAGAGGTCAGTATGGAAGTGGAGGCCAAGGCCAACATGTGCAAGCACAACCCCTCAGGTATCTCCCCCCAACCTGGAACCCAGCTCTTACCTGCCCCATCTCCTCTGGAGCAACCAACTCCATCCTCAGCCGCAGGGCTCCATCCTTAGTCCGGGACAGTGGAGGAGTCCCAGCTGCTGAGCCCCCTGCCTCCACTTCCACCCTCAGGGAGGACAGGGGTGTGGCAGCTCGGGATGTGCCCGCGCTATCCCCAACCCCAGGCTCTGGGAGGCACTGCTGGGGTGGGGAAGCTGACAGAGGGGGTGTTTCCACCTTGGCCTTGCCAGGCACTGCCAGCTGGCCCAGCCCCCCAGTGAAGGAGCGAGCCTGGGGTCCAGGGGAGGTGGGAGGTGGGAGAAGCCAGGAGGTGGGACCCTGAGACAGGCCTGGCTGTGGGGTATGGGTGCCCAGGCCCAAGCTGGCCAGCTCCAACCTGGAATCCAAAGATCTGCCCCCAGTGCCCCCTGAGGCCCCACGAATCCCTTCCAGGAGCCGGCCAAAGCTAGGGGGCTCCAGGTCTCTCTCGTAAACATCCACACATGTCCAACGGCCACGGCGATAAGGCTCTCCCAGGCCCTGTGGCAGCTTCACCACCCGGAAACGGGAGGCAGGGGCCCCAGGCGGAGGGGAACCGTTCCGGGGGGTGCCCTTACCCCCTGGCTCGGGGTTGGGCTCCCCATTGGGCAGGCGGGGTAGCGGCCCAGTGGGGACCGGCAGGGCAGGGGAATCTGGACCTCCAGGGCTCCCTGGGCCCTCATAATCCGTGGTAACGCTGGTGATTTGGAAACTACTCTTCTTCTTGCCCCCACTCATGGTCCCTGGGGCTCAGGATGGGGCCAAAGTGGGCGGAGGAAGGGGCAGTACTGGCTCTTCGAAGGGACTCAGGCACCCCTGGAACAGGGGAGCCACATGGCAGGGACATCAGGGCCCCTGGGGACATCTGGGTCCGACATGGCAGGAGGGCCTGGTAGGAACTGGGGGTGCCTGGGTGGTGAAGGGAGAAAAGGGTAGGGGAGGCGGCGAGAGGGGGGAGCAGGGGCAGGTTTTTCCTGCTGCTTTCTGTCGCTGACGAACTCCAGAGCTGAGTTTGCAAACTAGAAAAAGAGTGAGAGAGTGTGTGTGTGAGAAAGCAGTGGGCAGGCCACCTCCGGGTCTTCCTCTCTGAGTAGAAGAATCGGGGAGGAAGGGGAAACCACCAGACACCCAGAGACAAAGAGACAGAGATGACAGAGACCAGAGAAGAGGGTGCAGTCAGAGTGGGCGCAGGGAGCAGGAAGAGGCAGTCCAGACCCAAAGCTGGGCATTTCTCGCCTGGGATTCAAACTCACGGGGCTCCAAGTCGTCCCAAGAGCAAAGGGCTCCAAGGCCTGGGTGAACGGAGGTGAAGCACCTCCTCGGCCCGCCCGGGCTACCGGGAGGCCTCTTCTGGTACTCAAGCCCCCTCCCCCCGCCCCCGCCCCGCACCCCAGCTCCCCCATCCCAGGGGCAGGCCCTGCCCGCCACCACAGCGCCCCGCCCAGCCCAGCGCCTTACCTCTTGGCCTCAGCCAACAAGTTGGACCGGGGGTCCCCGCCGCCTAAGATGTCGGGTTGTCCTTGCCCTGGGGCCTCTTGGCCCCAGCAGCGCGAGGGGCACAGGCGGCAATCAAAGTCTGTTCAGCCCTCTTCGGGGGCCGCACCTCACTCCGTAAGGCATCCCCGTGGAAAGTTTGCGCTCCGGAAAAGAAGGAACCCCCGCCTCCCTGGTGGAGCCCAGGCGCGGCCTCTGGAGCCCCAAGCGTCTCCGGGCTGATGCGGGAGAGGGCGGCTCAGCCCCCTGATCCTCTAGGTGGAGGCGCTTCGGTGGCTCGGTCTCCCAAGTCTCTCTTCCCTCGTGGCACCAATGGGTCTCTCCGCTGCTCAGCTCCTTTTGGTTCTGTCTCACTGTCTCTCCCTTTCTGGGCTGTTGACAACCCCCACACCAGGAAGTCCTGCCTCCTCGAGCCTGCTGACTGCTCCTCTCCTACTCCTCCTTCCCCTCTTCCTCCCCTTCCTCCGCCCTCTCTCCCTCCTGGGGCTCCCGGCCAGCTGGCGCGGGGCCAGGACTGCCACTGCCGCTGCTGGTGCCGCAGCAGTTGCCGCTGCCGCCGCCGCTGCTGCTTCTGGGACTCGAACCAAGCTCCTTTAACCCCACACCTGCTGGGCCCAAGCCCAGCTCTTCCTCGGAGGGAGGGGCTGTGGAGGGCGGAGGGAAGGGGGAGGAGCCTGCAGAGCGGCCCGGGATTCCCTTACTTGTAGGCACTTGCTGGCTGCCATTGGCCTGCAGACACGCAGAAGAGTGGGAAGGAACTGACCAGGAGACCTACTGGTACCTGCCACCCCATAAACACTCAGTAAATGTTATAGAGCTGCTAGAGCTGTTATTGTCGTATCTTCACTGGTTTTCACAGTCACTGTATGAGGAAGGTATTGTTATTCTCCCCTATCCTGATTTTAAAAAGTGGATTATTATGAGAATTTTCAAAAATGCCCATAAAATGGACTCTCAGGTACCCATCATGCAATGTCAACAATAATCAGTTCACAGCCTATCTCGTTTCATCTATTACCTCCTGTTGTACTGTGCCGGGTTATTTGAATTTCATCCCAGGCATCACATTATTCCCCTTCTTAGATGTGGAAATGGAGATTGAGGAAGGTTCAGAAGGGGTATCAGTGGTAGAGCAGAGGCATTCCACACACTCGGGTATGTCTTTGTCTGGCCCCCATGTAGAGAAACGACATAGTACTTATACACACAAACACCCACACGGACGCACCTAAGGACAAACGAATTGCTGGCCCCAAGCAAGGGCACCTCTCCCACCTCTCATCTGTCCCACTTTTCCCTCCCATTTCTTGCTCACTATAGAGAATCCACACTCACGAAGAGCCAACTATGTGCTTGGTGTGAAAGAATACACTTCCAACTGCCATTGTCTGTTTTTCAATACCCCAGCTAACATGCTGAGAGGAATTATTTTAGCAAAAGCCACCTCTGCTTTCACTCTTACATTTAGAAAGAAATGAATTATTTAAAAAAAGATTTTATTTACTTATTTTTAGAGAAGGAAAGGGAGAGAAACATCAATATGCGCCTCTCACACACCCCCACTGGGGACCAGCACTGCAGCCCAGGCATGTGCCCTGACAGGGAATCAAACTGGCGACCCTTTGGTTCACAGGCCAGCACTCAATCCATTGAGCCACACCAACCAGGGCTGAATTCTAATTAATTTTGATCAAACAGAACTATTCTCAAATATATTAAAAATCCCTTACATTCCTTCACTTCACATAAGTATCTGGTAGATTCTCAAACGGCCCTGGGCAGAGATAGTGGATTTTGAGCTTCAGTGTTTCTAAGGAAACTGAAGCTCAGAGGCATACAGTTATTTGCCCAATGCCCCAGACCTAATATGGTGGCAATAAGACTGGCCTGGGGCTGACATCTTTCCTTCCTCAGTTTTAGTTCATGTTTTAAGCAACCTTTAAGGTCAGGCAAAAATGAAATTATGCAAAGCCCCTTGCTCCCATGTTTATATACTTACCATTTATCTTATTGTTAAAATGCATTTGCACTCCCGCCTGTCTCCCTTCATGGTAACAATGGCTGCTATAGCCAGGAGGCAGCCTCCCCAAGCACACCCTGACTCTCTCCCTCTGGCAATATTCACAAAACATTCCTGCTGCCCCACCCCCGGATCCTTTTTCCTTCAGCTCTGACTAGTTACAGAATATTCAAAACCCCTCTTTAGACCCTCCCCTTCCCACTGTCTCAGACCCTCAGCATTAGTTTGGACTCCTCTGAGTTTACAGTCCCTAGAACGTTATTGGTCTCTGTAGAAATGTTTGTTGAATTAATCAATAAAAATCCATTCACACTAAGGTGTAAAAGTGAAAATACTGTTGTGTTTTAATGTATTATCTCTCCTGAGGATTTTATAATAATCCTTTAATGTATGGGGCCCTTTACATTTGTATTCATTACTTTACTGCCTCCAATATTATTGAGGTAGGTATGAGATGAGGCACCTCTCAGACAGGTTGCGCCATTTGCCCAAAGCCACGCAGCACATCGCAAAGACTGCCATATAAAGTAACATTAACAGGTTCCAGGGATTAGGGCGTGGATACCTTTTAGGGGTTCACTTTTCAGCCAGTTAGGGGTAGAACTGAGGTTTTCTTGCAGCTAACCTGCGCCAAAGGGAACTAAGGAAGGAATTTTTCATAGCGCTGCTGAGAAAAGACCGAGCCGGGGACCTGGCCAAGGTGGCTGCAGTCAGTGACCTATCCAGAGCGCTCAGGTCCTAGCGGGCTCCGCCCGCGGAGTCAAAGGTTACTAGGTGGATGACTCTGCCGCCGGGGTAGATAGGCGTAAGACTTTGAGCCCAGAAGGTGACACAAAACCCAGGCGCCCGAGAGGCTGGAGGGATAGACGAACCGCACGGAGCAAGCCAGCACAGTGCTTTCCCGGAACCTGGGGGGCGGCGGGAAGATGGCGTGTGGCCAAGGGCGCACGCCCCCTGCTGGGCAAAGATCAGGACGGTCCGGCTTCCGACTCAGAGCCCCTCGGCACAGAAAGAGGTGCCCCCCTGCCGGTCTCACTGCCTCACTGCACTCGGGCCCCGCAGCCGCAGACTGGCCCCGACCAGACGCTGGGTGAGCAGCCGGGAAGGTCCCGGCGAACAAGAAACGAGCGCGGGTGCAAGCCCCAGGCTGCCGCTGGGGGGCACCGCTGTGCGCTGCGCCCCGCTTCGCTCAGCGGGGGCCTTGGACACCGAACTGAGCACTGCCCTGCCGGGCACCGGGCACCGGGCGAGAGGCAGCGAAGAGCGGACGCCCCAAAGCGGGGCCTGGCTGGCGCATGGTCCCCGGCGCCCTACGACCTTTCTCCGAGTCGCCCCGCGGACTCCGCGGTCCCCGTACCTCCCAAACCAGCCAGGCGGCGCGGCGCAGCCCGCGCCCGGTCCTTGGAGGGTGTGGAAGGGTGGGTTTGGGGCCGGGGGCGGGTCTGGGGGCGGACCCGGAGGCGGGGCTGTCTCTGCGGCAGGACCCAGCTCCGCTCCCCTCGGTCTCTGTCTTTCCTCCTCCCTCCTCCTGCTCCGGGCGGAGCCCGGCATGGGGGGGCCGGCGCCCGGCAGGCCAGGTACGGTGATGTAGAAATTGGGGAGGCTTGGTGCGGGGCGATGGGATGGGGGCGATCAGGGGCAGGGAGGATTGGCGGGGAGAGACGGAGGAACCCTGGATAGCAGGACAAGGGGAAGGGGAGGGGTGGCCGGGAACCTGGGGCGCTTGGATGGAGAGGGGGATGAAGCCGGCCAGGTTTGGAACCGAAAGAGCAGGGAGAGGACGGCAGTGAGGAGGGGCGCCTGGAATGAGAGGTGAGGCTGAGGCGCAGGAGAGTGTGTTTGGGGGAAGGGAAATCAGGCAGGTATGGAGGCCGCAGCTCAAAAGGTAGCTACGGGGCCAGACTGGAGACACTGGGGTGGGATTGAGGGGCGGGGACTGAAAGAGGGTAGCCAGGAGCTTCCCAGATCCTGGAGAAGGAAGATGATTTGGGCCATCAGTGAGGGAAGCGGAGACCATCGCTGAGGAGCCAGGACGCAGGATGAGGGGTGGACCGAGGCCTGAGCCCAAACGAAGAACTGGAAGGGCCCTAGGGCGGCAGGGGATGGAGATATTTGGATGGTGATATTGTAGATTCCCAACTCAGAGTGCCCCCACCCTTTTTCCAGCATCCCAGCCCTGCCCTCATGACACCCCCAGCCTCAGGGCCCAAGATGGGGTTAGGAGTCTGACTGTCTCCCCATTCCCCAGTAGGGTGCAATGTACGCATGTAGGCCTGGGCATAACTCCTTGTCCGGTTGGGTGCAGCCTATTTGTGTATGTCAGTCTGGAGGTCTGTGTGTGCTGTGGGTGTGTCGAGTGTTTATGTCTGTGTGTGTCTGCCTGTTCCTGGGTTGTGTTTACCTATGCTGATCTATGTATCTGGTCCTCTGTAGGTATGGGTCTATGGCCCTGTGGTTTGTGTGTCTGAAGGTGTGTTTGTTGGGCCTGTGTGGTGGATCAGGATATGTTTACAGGATGGCAGTCTCTGTCGATCTTATCTCTCCAGAGTGTATATTTGTGGCTCTGAACACCTTTGTCAGACCGTGTGACTCTGTGTACAAATGTCCATCTGTGTCTGTGGGCCCTTAGAGGCTGTGTTTGTTTTTTTGTGCCTCCATCTGTTTTCTCCCTGTGAGGACTCAAGTCATGTCTCTGTTCCTCTTCCCCACCCCTCTCTTGTTCCTGTCCCTGCCCCCCCACCCCACATCTTTCTTTTTTGTTTTTCCCTCCCATCCCCCCACCAAGTGGATCCGGGACCCAGGGAGGGCCGCCCCCCGGGCCTGGTGGTGCTGAGCAGGGCCCCTCAGCCCCCACCTTCTGTCTCACGACATGAACCTCCTCTACCGAAAAACCAAGCTGGAGTGGAGGCAGCACAAGGAGGAGGAGGCCAAGAGGAGGTAAGACTGCGTCCCAGAATGCCCCTCACCTGCTTACCTCTGCCTCCCCCTGGCGGGGCCACATCCCTTCGGCCCTTCCTGAGTCCTACTGCCTGGTCATCAGTCAGATCTCAGAGTCTGTACAGAATTGTGGAATGGCACACACCCTATTCCCACCCTGCTCCTGGCTCCAGCTCCTGTCCTGCCCTTTTGGAGGGCTTGCAGCTTAGGAGCACCCTGTTGGTTCTTCCTCATCCCCAGAGGCCCAAGTCACTTCTTCCTAACTCACCTCTGGCCCATGGTTTTCTCCTCTCTGTCAATTTGGGGCTGGCTTTTGGCTCCCTTGTCATCTGACCTTGGAAGGGGTAGGCCCTTCTGCCCTCACAGCCCAGGAGCAGGTCATTAGAGGGGCACCAGAAAAGATCCATTTGGTCCCCTCTCAGCGTCTGCTGGGGAAGCGAATGGCCAAGTGACAGGGTTGTGTGTGTGTGGTGAGGGACACGTAGGCTGGACCCTGTGGAAGAGCCAGGGCCTGCTCTCTCTCTTTGCCTTCCCAGGGACCTGGGGCCTGGCCTCTCCATTCTTGCTCCCTTCTCCTCTTCATTCCCATTGACTGCACAACCTCTTGGAAGCTGAGTCAGAGCAATCTCCCTGCTCCCTTCTCCCTCCTCACAACTGGAGAGTTTAATTCTTGTTGTTAATTAGATTAATCAGAGCAATCGCTGCAGTGATCTGTCCCTAATAAAGGGTTAGTAGACAGGGCCTTAATGAAAGCCCACCCCACAGTTCTCCCCTCTTCCCTGCCAGCCACCCCCACCCTTCACTCACCCAGAAGCTCAGGGACAGTGAAAAGGAATCAGGCTGGGAGGTTAACAGAGACATGACAGCACTGAGGGAAGAGAGAGAGAAGGGTCAGCCTGGGAAGGATGCTCTGATGATGTGGCAGTACAGGCCCAAGTCTGGGAGAGGAGGCGTGGTGAGGTGTGGAGCATAGGCCACCAAGGCTGGACACGGGGGAGGCCAGAGGCCAGGTGTGGCCCAGCATGAATGAAAAGCAGTAGAGCTGTGCTGGCATGTGTGTGAGCCAAACAGGGCTCTGCTGCCTTAGTTTGTGTCTCTGTGCCTCTGTATGAAGCTATCCACATGTGTGCTGTGTGCTAGATATGCCCAGGCTGGGATCAGCCAGCTGTAGGATACTCTCCTGCACACATACTCCCCCCTTTTCTCATCCCATTTTTAAAGCCTTGGGATTCTGCCTGAAGCTTCTACTTTAGTGCCCTAGACCTTCAGGCTTCCCTGAATCCCCACCCCAGTCTCTTCTTCCTCCCTGGGAGGCCACAGGGTTGCAAACTCTTCTTGAGGTGGAGAAGGGGCCTGAAGCCGTTCAACCTCTGCTCCATCTTGGCCTTCTCTCCCCAGCTCCAGTAAGGAGGTGGCGCCTGCGGGCCCAGTAGGGCCTGGGGCTGGCCCAGGGCCTGGGGTTCGAGTTCGGGACATCGCCTCTCTGCGCCGCTCCCTCAGGATGGGCTTCATGACAATGCCAGCCTCCCAGGAGCACACCCCCCATCCCTGCCGCAGCGCGATGGCCCCTCGCTCTCTCTCCTGCCACTCCGTGGGCAGTATGGACAGTGTGGGGGGTGGGCCTGGGGGAGGCGGTGGGGGTCTCACCGAGGATAGCAGCACACGAAGACCCCCAGCCAAGCCCCGGAGACACCCCAGCACCAAGCTCAGCATGGCAGGGTCCAGCACAGAGACTCCCCCCAGCAAGAAGGCAGGTGAGATACCCCTACCCCTCCCCAGGGGGAGCTGGGAGCCAGGAGCCAGAAGGATCCATTCCAGGCCAGGGGAAGACTGCTGGGAGGCTTCATTCAGGGAAGAACCAAGAAAGTGGAAGATTTCATTCTCAGAGGGGATGGGGGGTGTTCCTTTTTGGAAGGGCTTGAGATGAATTATTCAAGGACAGGGAAAGCTTCCTGAAAAGTCCAATCGTGGAGGAACATGAGGGTGGGAGAGAATTGAGGGTGAGAGCTGCAGATTCTGAGGAGTTTATTAGAAGGACTGAGGGCTGACAGGATAGGACAGGAATCTACTGCAGCTGTAAGTTAAGGGATGTGGGCAAAATGAAGAGGCAGATATGTCCTTGCAGATGGGTCAAGAGGTCAGAAAAGGTCTCCCCATTCTGTTCCCCAACCAAGAGTCCAGTTTATTTTTTTTCTTTCCCATTCTTCTCAGGCTCACAAAAGCCAGCCCCAGAGAGCCAAGAGTCTAACCGGAAGGTTCCTCCACAGAAGCCCAGGCGAAGCCCCAACACTCAGCTCTCTGTCTCCTTTGATGAGTCCTGTCCCCCAGCCCCCTCTCCTCGAGGGGGTAACCTGCCCCTTCAGCGCCTCAGTAGAGGGTCCAGCATTGCTGGGGACCCTGAGGTGGGTTCCCAAGAAGAAGAGCCAGTGTACATTGAGATGGTGGGGGATGTCTTCAGGGGAGGAGGGAGAGGTGGAGGGGGCCTGACTGGCCCCCCTCTTGGGGGTGGGGGCCTGACCCCTCCAGCTGGCGCTGACTCAGACTCGGAAGAGAGTGAGGCCATATATGAGGAGATGAAATATCCGCTGCTCGAAGAGGCAGGGGAAGGCCGGGCCAACGGGGCCCCTCCACTGACTGCCACCTCCTCGCCACACCAGCCTCATGCCCTCCAGCCCCACATTCACCACCGTCCAGCCTCAGCCCTCCCAAGTCGGAGGGATGGGACACCCACCAAGACCACACCTTGTGAAATCCCCCCTCCCTTCCCTAACCTCCTCCAGCATCGCCCTCCACTTCTGGCCTTCCCTCAACCCAAGTCTGCTTCCCGAACCCCTGGCGATGGGGTCTCGAGGCTACCAGTCCTCTGCCACTCCAAGGAGCCAGCTGGCTCCACCCCAGCTCCCCAAGTGCCTGCCCGAGAGCGGGAGACGCCTCCCCTACCGCCTCCGCCTCCTGCTGCCAACTTGCTGCTGCTGGGACCCTCGGGCCGGGCCCGGAGCCACTCGACACCGCTGCCACCCCAGGGCTCTGGCCAGCCCCGGGGGGAGCGGGAGCTCCCCAACTCCCACAGCATGATCTGCCCCAAGGCGGCAGGGGCGCTGGCAGCCCCTCCTGCCCCGGCCACCTTGCTTCCCGGCCCCCCCAAGGACAAGGCCGTGTCTTACACCATGGTGTACTCAGCAGTCAAGGTGACCACCCACTCCGTCCTGCCAGCTGGGCCTCCCTTGGGTGCTGGGGAGCCAAAGACAGAGAAGGAGATCTCAGTCCTCCACGGGATGCTGTGCACCAGCTCGAGGACCCCCATACCTGGGAAATCCAGCCCCCACGGCGGAGCCATGGGTGCAGCAGCTGGGGTTCTCCACCACCGAGGCTGCCTGGCCTCCCCACACAGCCTTCCGGACCCAACTGCAGGCCCCCTGACCCCCCTCTGGACCTACCCAGCCTCAGCAGCTGGGCTTAAGAGACCCCCTGCCTATGAAAGCCTCAAGGCTGGGGGGGTGCTGAATAAGGGCTGTGGAATGGGGGCCCCATCCCCCATGGTCAAGATCCAGCTGCAGGAGCAAGGGACTGATGGGGGTGCCTTTGCCAGTATCTCCTGTGCCCACGTCATCGCCAGTGCAGGGACACCAGAAGAGGAAGAAGAGGAGATGGGCGCTGCAACATTTGGGGCAGGCTGGGCTCTGCAGCGGAAGGTCCTATATGGAGGAAGGAAGGCAAAAGAGCTGGACAGTGAGTGAGGGGAAGATGGGGAGGGATGGGGATATCGGTGATTTGGGGGAGGCCTTGAAAGAGCTGTTTGGAAGCCATGGCCCATTGTCCTGAACTTGGGAGAGTTCTGGGAGACCACAGGGAGGAGGGTATGCAGTGCACTGAAGGGATGGGGTCCCCATGTATGTGTGGAAGGGCAGGAAGATCTGGGTTGAGCAGGTAGAATCTGGCCCCCAGAACAGCTTCCTCCTTCTGCCCCATCCTGCTCTACTCTCTGCCCCTCCCTTTGCTGGGCTGCAGGGGTGTGAGTGAGTGTGCACACTGTAGCAGCTAAACACAGCTGCTTCCCAGCTGTTACCATGGCAACTCATCCAGACAGGAGGGAGAGGGGAGGGAGGCCCCTACTGTTGCCTGGAAACGCAATGCTCTGCCAGGCCTACTCAGAGATGAGCTTAGTTCATAGTCAGCCCTTCCCCTCAACAGTCCCCCCCTACACACACACACACTTCCTGGCTCAGGATTTGGGATTCTTCTCCTGGAGATAGGGCCCCTGGTCTGCTTCCAAGGGTGGTCATTGTAGCTCTATCTGGGGCTGGAGGGGCTCAAAAGCTAAAGCTAGGATAGGAGAGACCCCTCTGCCAGGGAAAAGGGTTTGGAAGTAGTAAATATCCATGATCTCAGCCCAGGAATGGTACCAATGAGTGCAATGGAAGGTAGCAGTACTAGGGTCCCTCCCTCCTGTGTGTGATGTGCTGGGGGAGTGTGAAGTAGGGACCCTCCCTTCCCAGCTATGATCTGCAAAGGGGCAGTTACTTCTGGCCTACCCATGCTTTGGTGTGTTGAGCTGGGAGAATCGCAAGGCCCCTCCCACATACAGACACTGAGCTCTCCTTGTCATCCCAGCAGAGATGGAAGACAATGCCAGGTCCTGGAATGGCAGTGCCGAGGGCCCAGCCAAGGTGGAACGTGAAGACAGGGGTCCTATGGCATCAGGGATCCCAGTGAGGAGCCAGGGGGCAGAGGGCCTGCTGACCAGGATCCACCATGGAGGGGACCGAGGGGGGATCCGCACAGCACTGCCCACACCCTGCCAGACCTTTCCGGCCTGCCACCGAAATGGAGGTGACACATGGCCCTCCCACACCTGTACACAGATGGGGTGGACGGGGGAATTTCCCAGGGCCCATGTCCTGGGGCTACATCCTAATATCACATCTCCATTCCCTTTCCTCCTCTGATGAGGCAGTGGCAGCCTGGAAGGGACTGTCCTTGGGGAACTCAGGAGTGGGTAGACCTGAAGTCCCCTTCCCTCATTTCTGTCTCCTCAGACTTCACAGGAGGCTACCGCCTGGGGCGCTCTGCCTCCACCTCCGGAGTCCGGCAGGCCGTGCTCCACACCCCCCGGCCCTGCAGCCAGCCCCGGGATGTCCCAAGCCAGGTGAGGAGGAAGACCAGGTTGGGTTCTGATTGTGCAGGAGCAGATAGAGAAGACCAGGATGTGGGAGGAAAGGCATGAGGTCAGGCTTGGGCCTGGCAGAGACTAATGGGGTACCCATAGAGGTGGGGCAGGGAGTCAGGGGGACTCCCCTGAGGATACCCTTCCAGGGGAGAATCCTGGAAAGGGGCTATTTATGATGGGCAAGCCAGGCAGGGCCACCACTGGTGGACAGTGCACCTTTGTGCATTTAGAAAAAGGCGTCCCCTCTGGGGGGACCACTGGAAAAATGCATCCTACTAGGAAGACAGTTTTTAAAAGGAGCCCCTTCCTCAGGGTGAGACAGGCCCAGCCTGGCACCAGGGTGCATAGCTGGGCAGAGGGTGCAAGGGCTGGATTTCTGTTCCCATCTCCTCAGGGGGGAGAGGACAGGGTCAAGAGAGGACTTGTGTCTGGGAGAAGGCACTGGTCTCTGCAGTGGGGACGGAGCCCAATCGCTCCGAGGTCCTTGACCCCCTTTCTTCCTTTCTCCCCCGTCTGGGCGGCGGCGGGAGGAAGGGGCACAGACCCACCCTGCACTGCCGCTGCCGCTGCCCCTGCAGCCCCAGCCGGCCCGAGAGAGAGAGCGCGACGGCAAGCTGCTGGAAGTGATCGAGCGCAAGCGCTGCGTGTGCAAGGAGATCAAGGCGCGACACCGCCCTGACCGGGGCCTCTGCAAGCAGGAGAGCATGCCCATCCTCCCCAGCTGGAGGCGGGGGCCGGAGCCCCGCAAGTCCGGCACTCCGCCCTGCCGCAGGCAGCACACCGTCCTCTGGGACACTGCCATCTGAGGAAGGCAGGAGGCCAGGGCACTGGGACCGGGGAGCGGGGCGGGGTCTCTGAGAGACTTGCCTTGAAAGAGGGACACTTGAAGAACCAGGTGAGAGAGAGAGAGCCAGGGAGAATCCCTGCCCTCCACCGAAGATGGGGAGTCTGCCAGGCCCATCGGGCTTGGGATGCCAGCAGCATCCCCAGAAATCCGAGAGAGACAGAGGGTTTGCTTGAGGTTGGGAGTAAGGCCCTTGCTGCTCCCCTCCTCCTGAGAGGGCACAGGCCAAGCCAGAGGTCAGCATGGGGGAGGAGGGATGGGGAAGGGGTCAATTGAAGGAGAGGGACTAGAGAGTGAGAGATGAAGGAGCTCTTATAGAGTTGGGTATTGGGGAGGGCGTATTTATTTTGTGATTTATTTTAGTTTAGAGGGCAATTCTGAGCCCTCCGACCTACTCCTGAGCAAGGGGTGGGGAGAAGTTAGCAATTAAGGGAACCACGTTTGCACTCTCCCCAATGCCTAAAGGCCCCACCATCCATGCCTGCCCCAAAGCAAGGGATTGGTCTGGGGGGGCAGCAGATTCATTCTCAGTATTTACAGGTCAGAGTCTGGTAGTGAGCCCGGCCCGCTGTGAAACAGGCATCTTATTTAGCTCTGGAGTGAGGATCTGGCACCAGGGACGGGTGGGGTGATGGGGAAGGAGGGAAATTTTAGCGGGTGGGTGGAGGGCAGGGTATTTATTTAAATTTTAAAAAATCAGAAGAGATGTCAGGAATTTTTTTTAATTCCTTTCTTTCAGAATAATATATTAAAAGACTAATGATCCTAGAACTGGCTTCTTAAATTTCAGTGTGCTCTGCCTTTCTTACATTTGCTTCCCTTCCCCTCTGGCCCTTGGTTTGTGGGAGTTGAAGGTTGTGCAGGGAGGGCTGAGTGGCTGTGGCAAGTAACAGGGACAGGTGGAGTTTGAGGTAAGTGTTCAGGATTACAACCATACAGTGACTCAATAAGCATTTATGGAGCATCTGATGTGTGCTTCGCAGTGCCCCGATGCAGAAGGAATATTCAAACTGAAACCTGCCTGCAAGCACCTATGATCTACCCAGGGAGGTGAACTGCCTGAGCTGACACTAGGCAGTGCTCCTGGAGTGAGAGGGGGAGAGGGCTGGAATCCTCTAAGAAAGCTTCCTGGAAAGTGAGCCTATAAGGACAGATAAGGTGTGGATGAGCAGGGGGAGGAGGAAAATCCCAGTCAGAGTGTGATTGCCTGTAGAACAGCAGAAGATGGAGTTTGGGGACACGAAGTGTGTTCAAACAATACAGAGGGCAGTAGGGAGCCAGCCATGATGGAGCTGGTTCAGAAAGAGGGGCCACAAAGCAACATGCTGGCCCTGGGGAAGGAAACCAGAGGAATCCTGGGAGGTGGTGTATCACCATGGAGGAGGATGAAAAGAAATGGCTAGGAGAATGGAAGGCAAAAGACAATGAATGGGGGCGGGGGCGGCGGGGTGGGAAGGGATATCTTCAAGCCCAAGTTTGGAGCTTATGTGATTGGGGAAATGGTCACCTTGATAGAGCCAGAAAAATGGGGTTAAGAAGACTCTGAGGGAAGATCAATGATTTTGAAGCAATGGTGCGTATTCAGGTTGAAAGGTTTATGACCAGCGAGACCAGAGTTTCAAAAATGTGGTGGATGATACAAGAGATATTCTAAAACAGTATGTAAAAGAACGTTAGAACTTCAGTAGCCTCGTGTTTATCTTCACTCGTATTAGAGAAAGTATAACCAGCACATCAGACTTCTTGTTATTTTGTGTATAGTATACAAGATGAGGCTACGTTTTCATAAGTTGGTTTAAAGAAAAAATTAAGCAAATAAATAATGGCACAGATGGTGTATAGAATATGAAAAATTATGGCGGTTGTATGAGAGTTTTTGAGATTGAGGAAACACCAAGTTAGAAATAAAATGATGATAGTTTGGGAGAGCTGACAAGACTGCCCATTAGGAGTCATGGACACAGAACTGGTACTCAAGGCCAAGACTGAGCTCTGTTAGGGTGTGGATAAAAGTAAGAATTAAGAACAAAATATAAACAAGGAATAGCTTTTAAATTTTTTATTTTTTGAGATGTAACTGACATATAGCATTGTATTCATTTCAGATGTGCAACATAATGACTGACCTATGTATGTGATGTGAAATGATGTGAATCTAGTCTCTCAGCAGCTTCCAAACATGCAGTATAGCAATGTCAGCTATGATCACCATGCTGTACATCACATCCCCAAGACTTATTTATCTGTCTTATAACTGGAAGTCTGTACCTTTACTCATTCTCCCCCCACGCCCATTAACCACCAATCTGTTCTTTGTATCTATGAGTTCAGTTTTTTTGTTTTTATTTCAGGTTCTGCATATAAGTGAGATCATATGATATATGTCTTTTTCTTTGAATTTTTAAAAAGATTCCATTTATTTTTAGAGAGAGGGGAAGGGAAGGAGAAAGAGAGGGAGAGGAACATCAGTGTGTGGTTGCCTCTCACACACCCCAGACTGAGGAGCTGGCCTACAACCCAAGCATGCACTCTGGCTGGGAACTGAATCAGTGACCCTTTGCTTCACAGGCCTGCGCTCAATCCACTGAGCTACACCAGCCAGCACCGTATGGTATATGTCTTTATCAGTCTGACTTATTTCACTTAACATCATACCCTCAAGGTCCATCCATGTTATGGAAAATGACAGGGTTTTCAACAGATTTTTAATAATAAGTTAGAAAATTAATGGAAGGAACTATGTCATTTATAAAAGCAACAAAAATCATACAAAATCTAGAAGTAACTTTAACAAGAAATGTATAGGACTATATTGGGTCAATCAATAAAACCAAAGTTCTTTGAGCTACTCAGACCAGGAACACTAGAATAAGCAGAGTAATAACTTGTTTTTAGATAAGACCATAATATAAAAGATGCCAGTTTTCCCTAAATTCAGTGAAGTCTCCAAATCTCAAAAGGATAATTTGGGAAGGTTGACAAAGTAATTCAAAAGTTTGTCTAGAACGATAATGAGAAAAACCAGAACATACTGAAACTGATGAGCACTGGGGGACCTGGCCTATCAAACTAAAAGTTCAGTAAAAGCACAGTGTACTGGAATTGGCACAGGACTGGCATAATTCATCAGAATAGAATTCAAAAATCACCCCAAATGCACAGGAAAAGTTAGTACATATATGATGAAAGTGGTGTTTTCATGATGGGGAAAAAGTTATTTAATAATTGTTTCTCGAACAATTAGCCAGTTCAGGGAGAGTGTGGAAAGCTGGATTTCTATTTCATGTATTATACCAAAAGATTTCAGTGTAAAAACAAAACATGAAAAGGGAAAGGTAGGTGAACATGCTTGTAACCATGGGATGGAGAAGGCCTTTCTAAAATGACATGAAAACCAGAGACAAACCACGAGAATTTAAAGTGTCATGGCATTCATTGTTCAAATGTTTATGTGGCTAAGTCAAACTACATTTAACTGGGAAAATATTTCTAACACATGTGAAAATGATCAATACAATTATAAGAATGATTTTTGAGTTGATAAGAAAAAGAAAACAAACAAATATGTGAACAAAGGACACAAACATACAATTCACTAAAGAAATAGAAATTACCAATAAACACATTCAACCTTAACCATAAGTAATGCAAACTAAAGTAATAATAAAAGACTTTTTACCCATCAGACAAAACTGAAAAAAATTTCGTAACATCAGTTTCACAAATATGTGCAGGAAAAACACGCACTGTAAACAAATTAATACAGCCTTTTGGGAGGTCAGTTTAATAACATTTATTAAAATTTAAAGTGTGTATGATTTTGACTCAAAACTTCCATTTTGAGGAATTTATCCTATGGAAATAGTTGCAGAGGTGTACTAAGCTGAAGGTACAAGGATGCTAATTGCAGCATCATTTGAAATGATGAAAAATTGGAAACAACCCCCAAAGTTCATCATATGGCACTGACTCAGTAATGTATGGTATCAAAGAAGCTGTTAAATAGAACACAGAGGTATAGCTGTTCTAAGCACAAGAAGCAGTTCATAAGAAGTGAACAAACCAATGTGTAGAAAAGTACATACGGAAAAAGCACATGTTCAGAAAAATCATTTGTAAATTTTTATGTAAGTCTGGAGGAAATACACTAACTAATTGATGGTGATTATTTTGAGGACTGAGAAGAGAGGGGTCTTAATCTACTTTTAAAAAAATAAATTTAGATTTTTTTAATTTTTATGTGTGTGTCTTTATTCTGAAATCAGAAAACCACATATATATATTTTTTCTTTAAGAGAAGTAAGTAGTTAAGCGTTCTGGGAGGGTGTAGACCAGGGACAGGGATGGTGCTCAGTAACAAGAAGCAGAGGTAGGTACCAAGTGTCATGTATGGTGGAGCTGGCACCTGTGGGTTCAAATCCGAGGTGGGCCTTCCAGGCTGAAAAGAAAGGAGCAGGAACAGAGATGGGATGAGATGAGGTGAGAAAGACTGGAATCCCAGCAGAGTTGAAGTGAAAGGCTAGAGTAGACGGAATCAGGGTAAGATGGGCTCAGGCAAAGGCACATGCTCGACAATGCTGTGAGCCAGGACAACCCAGACCTTTTGCTGGTTGTGCAAGATTTGAGGCCTGCAAAGAGTTAACAAGTTTAAAAAGATGTAGGCTGTGCTGGAACTATTAAACCTCACATGAGCATTGAAGGGATGAGCACCCCATGGGAAGTCAGTCTGGGCAGCCCTGCCTGCCAGACTCCTGGAAAAACACCTGGATGCCCTTCTGGGGCAACTAAGCAACTTCCAACTCTGACTTGACACCTTTTGAAACCCCAGCAAAGCAGAAAAGTCTAGGGCAGCACAGCCAAAGGTGAGAGGGTCCTAGAGCATTGGAGTCAAGAAGGCAATGGGAGCTGCATGGGAGAGACCTTCTTTGGGGAGGGAATGCATTCGAATTAAAGGGGAAAGAAAAGTACCTCTGAAATAATGTGCTGCCTTATCTTTTCACAGCCACTTTGTCTGTTGAGATTGTATTTCAGCACTGAAGAGAGATTTCTACCAAAGGGTCATGTCGAAAAGACTTGGAAACAAATATGACGAGTTCTCAATGGCTAAAGGATGGCACGGTTCGAGCATCAAGAAGGGTAAGAACTGTAGCGGGTTCAAAGACAAATATGGTTAAATTCATTAGTTCACAATGACAAAAACAATATTTCTTACCTGTGGAGGATGCTGGAGAATCAATTCATTCTTTTGAAAACTGGTAAGTAAAAGGAAAGAACCAAACATGTACTTACCTTTATCAGATCACTGACGAAGAGAACTTTCTCTTTATATAAATATTCTGGCTAGCAAACTAAGACAAAATTTAGAATTGGAATATCACCATGAAGTAGTGGATCCAGGTATTGGGTTTCAGTAGCAGCTATCATCACACACCATAGTATAAGAGACAACCAGACATGGTGTGCCTCCTGATAGAATGCACCATCATCTATGAAGTGTTCTAGTCCCCAAAAATTGAACCTAGAAATATGATCAAGCCTGCAGATGCCACTCCCAGCTACAGGAAATAAAAAGGAGAGGGAAACGTGTTGAACACCAAGCAAAATCGACATTGTGGGAAACACTTCAGGGCAAACAACCTGGATTGTTCAACCAATATATTGCAAGGAAAACAAAGAGATAGAGAAGGAACCTGTATATTTAAAGAGACTAAAAAAGACATATTGTTCATTGCAACCTATAGACC